ATTCGTTCAATTTAATATTACTTTTTAAAGTAGAGGTGTTATTTACAGTATCCCACCAATTCTTAGTAATTTCTACAAAATCTGCAGTATCTTCATATTGAAAATCTTTTAAAGCAGATTATCAGCCAAATAAACTTTCTGTTTTTCGAAACTACTCGGATATAAAGTCTTATAATTTAATTTATAAGTTTTCTTTACAACAAAATTAATTTCAGATTCGTAAACGTCACGAATATTTTTTAGTTTTGTCAATTTTACCACATTTGTATTAAAATCAGGAAAAACAAACGTATTATCCAAATTTTTCAAGTTTAACCAATTATCACGAATATTTTTAAAAATGTGTACAAAATCATAAGTTAAAAAAATTTTTTAGAATTGTTTTAAACATTGATCTATTTATTCTGTGATTATCTGTAATTATAGCCAAGACTTCAAAACTACATTTTTGAATGAAATCAATTACCTTAAGCGTGAGAGAAACCATTTCATTGCCAGTAATATTACATACAGGTATTAATTTAACTATTTCCGAAAAACTTCCAAATGAAGAAATCATATACGCTAAAATTGTTTTCGCTAAATCATTTTCATTAAACGCATACCAGCCCTATAATTTAATTTTGAAGCTACGTAAATTTCATCAATTAATAACACTACAACTTTTTCATTACTTGATAAAGAATGAGATATATTTCCTAAATACTTCTCATTACTGCAGTTATCTTACGGTGATATTAAGAAATTTGAGGACAAATGTTGCAAATATCTTTCATTTGGTAAAATAAAAAAAAATTTGTAATATCATACGTAGAGGGGACTGAGAATAAATTGCAAATGATATAATAATAGTGGCTGATGAATATCTGTTTTTTTATTTCAAATTTGTTTTATTTGATCAAGTAATATTTCAAGATTTTTAGAAAAAGTAAAATATTCATTATTTACAATAATAAATGCCTGAAATGAATAAAATTGAATTACTTGAAGAAGGTAATTCAGAAAAATCGATCATCATATTATAAGTTAACGGAGTTGTATTTACATCAACAATACGATTTTCAGGTGCATTCTTGTTTCGTTGATGTTTTCCAGGATATTTACGTTGATATTCACGATTTCTTCTTCAGCAACTTAGTTTTTTTAAGTTTATTTTTTTTTTTTCATGAATTCTAATAATTTTTCGACGTCTAATTTTATTTTATTTTAGAAGATATTTTATTAATGAATGTATGTAGGGTGTTTCTGAAATAAGTGGCAAGCTTTCGAGCGTGTTAACCAGATACAATAAGGAATCGTATGGTAAGTAAAGATTAAGGGACAAAAAAATTGTTAGAAAGCTGGAAGTAACAAACTGATGCCGGTCCTGGGCATAAATTGGCAACACGAGTTTTAGTGCAGCGAGTTACGATAACAATTAAGCTATGATAAAATAAAATAAATAGTATCTCTTGTGGAACAATAACGTAAATATAGCTTACTATTTCACACAATAATACTTTTGTGGCCTTAAAAATAAAAATTAATGAGATAAACAACATTGTTCATCGCTGCTAGTATGTAACAGTATTTAAAATGCATGTCAATGTCGTATTAAGAACACAAAAGAAACAATTAACGTTACGTAAACAAAATAGGTAAATTAATATATTTTGGATAGACAATTCTAATTGTATTAATTATAAGGCAGATTTCCAAAATAAATTTGATGTATATATGATTTACCTATTTTTTAGGGGTGGTTTGCTAACAGACCTTTCATTAGAAAAAATTAATTTCAACAACAAAAACGGTAAACACACACATACGTGTGTTCACTCCAAAAATGTTTTTGAAATTCGAACTCAGTGCTAAAGGATAGGGTTCAATGTGTCTGTCAAAATTATTGCCAGTCTCTTTTAATCACTGTACCGTACTTGCATTACCCGTAAATTAGTATCATGTCGCCAGTGATGTGACTTACTTTAGATACAAGGTTTTTGAAATACAGATACAAGATGCAAAACACATATTTTTATCTTGTATCTGAAATGCATTTTTTGTATCTTGGATTTAGATACATTCTGTTGGTATCTTAGTATTTTGTAAATACTATGTTTGCCAAAATACTATTACTAATTACCTACCTATGTATTTTTTTACGTTACGGCATCATAAAGACAAAATTGAATGCACCCTTACAATTTGTAATTAATCAATCTTTCAAAAGACTGTGCTTGGTTTAATCTATGTTCTACTTTTGTAGTCTGAAATATCAAATATTTAAACAAAATAATTTTCACTTTGTTAACGACTTTGGATAAAAATAATATAATTACACATACAACAAAAGTCAACACAACACCGCAATATTTCAATAACACAATACCGCTCGTTATTTTATATCATCAAATGTCTTAAAATGGAAACACTAAAATATTGCGGAACTTTGTTAGATGTCATCGACGAAAACCTAAATAGACGTTTTAAAAAGTTTTTGCAGTTAGGGCCTGCAGCAAATGATGTAATATTAACCTCAGTATTACATCCGTTCTTTAAAATGAAATGGGTACCAAAAGCACATAAAGAACATGTGAAGGAACTTATTCTGACTGAAACACGTAAAATTAATCGATTTGAAAACAAAAATTGGAGTCTTTAAACGGCAATGGAGAAGACGTAAAACAAAAGACGAACCTTATTACAGTGTTACATCGAGATACGAGTTTAATTCGTTTCGTAACCTTGTTCGTATGTCAATTTGCTCGTATCTCGAAGCAATTTTCCTCATTGAAATTAATTGAAATACCATTAATCCGTTCCAGCCCCAAAAATACTACCTCCAATTGTTTTTGTTACGTGTTTTTGAATAAGACACATTCCCAAGATTTCTTTTATCTTACTTGTAGAGATAACCTCCTCCAGCTCTGGCTCTTCCTCGAAACCAATTTCTTGCAGAAGCCCGGAATGCTGCTGCGACTGTAACTTTTGTAATTCCTCGATCGTCGATTCCTGAGAGCTCGTTCACGTCTCTCTCATCTATCATCAGGCTCATGGATTTTCCCAGAGACACTCCACTGAATCCTTCGAATCCTTTCGGCTACAGACTCAGGCCACAGCTTCTTCCATGCAGAGGTCAAGGTCCTCGTTGTAACACTCAGCCAGGCCTGAACAATAGTTCTGAGGCATATCATGATGTTAAAGTGGTCCTTCCAGTACTCTCCAAGGGTAAGGTTTGTGTTCTATGTCACCTCAAAGCAGCGCCGGAACAGGTGCCTAGTGTACAGCTTTTTAAAATTAGAAATCACCTGCTGATCCATGGGCTGCAGGATGGGAGTGTTGTTAGGTGGTAGATAGAGAACCTTTATAAACTTGAACTGTTCGAGGATGTCATCTTCCAGGTTCGATGGGCGAGCAAGAGCACTGTCGAGGACGAGAAGGGCTTGAATGGGTAGGTTGTTTTCCTGTAGATATTTCTTAATAGAAGGGCGAAAAACCTCGTATCTCGAATGTCGCTCGTATTTCAAAACAAAACTTCGCTCGCTCGACAGCTCGTATCTCAAATAACTCGTATCTCGAGGTACGACTGTACATGTTTTTGTAATACTCTGATTCCTCTATTTCAACTGGCGAAAACACAGGGCTACTGGTAGCACCGCTGACTTAGAAACACTTCAATACTTATGAGTAAAAAATATTACAACTTCAATTTCATTCATCGACAGCATTTTGTACACTAGCTTCTATCTTTGACGCTCGTCTGTATTCGCTTAAACTGAAGACACCGCACAACACGCGTTATTCAACGCCCGTGTACACCGTCACTTAAATAATAAAGACGTCAGCCTGAAGAGTCAATGTTTATCTTACAATAAAGAAAATATTTTTAAAATATAACACCTGTTTGTCAAGTTCCACCCCGTAGAGCGACTCTTCTCGTTTAGGGGGGATGATAATCATCAGATCTCATCGAAGGAAAATGAGTGATAAAACGTTTGATGAAAGTATTTTATTTTAAATTAGTATTTACAGAATATGTATTTTGTATCTAGTATTTCAAATACCATTACCAAGAGAATCTCGTATCTGATATCTCAAATACGTTACTGAAAAGTATCTTGTAATTTGTATTCCGGATATTTAAAAACTTTCAATAAAAAAGAAAACATAATAAATAAAAAATTTATTTGTATATAGAAACTTAAGCTATGATAAAATAA